TTAGGCAGATCGATATTGCAAATGAGGCAGGGATTTAAATATCCCGCACCTAATTTGCATAAAAATGGCCACCGCGTTTTGCCGACTCACCACGTCGGCAACAAGCAGCAGTCTAGAGGGGAATCTGTCGAGAAAGAAAGCCTTTTTCGAGAGATCCCTTTTTCGAAAGATTCCAAGGAAGTTTACAGGATCTGTCGAAAAAGGCTTTCTTTCTCGACAGATTCCCCTCTAGACTGCTGCTTGTTGCCGACGTGGTGAGTCGGCAAAACGCGGTGGCCATTTTTATGCAAATTAGGCATGGGATATTTAAAACCCTGCCTCATTTGCAATGTCAAGCTGCCTAATCTGCATCCCTCTGCCGACAGAGGGATGCAGTCTAGACATACCCTCTGTGCTTATGTGAGAACAATTAAAGACAATGAATAAATAAATAAATAAATAAGACTAGAAACGTACCAAATTGACAGTAATGCAAAATGCATCACAGACTCTGAAATCCGGTGTCTTCCCATGAAATCTGGCCTTGTGGGGTTTTATCCTATACTACATGGATTTCACAGGGGGAGACTGGCAGTTCTCAAATTGGGGGTCCTGAAAAAGGGAGGTTGCACGGGGAATCACAAGGTTATTTTAGAAATGTCACAGTATTGTCTCCCTTACTTTTGCATTGCCTTCAGAGCTGATCAACTGGAGAGCAGTGGTTGTAATGTTGGCCAGGTACCCGGCTCTGAAGGCAACAACCTACCAGCAGGAGTAAAGTGCAGAAGTAAAGGTGACAATACCATACCCATGTCACCCTTACTTCTGCTATTAGAGTTGGGTGGCTGGAGAATGGTGGCTGCTGACAATGGGCCTAGCTTACTTCTGTGCTGCTGTTGGTGGTAGCTCAGAATCCTACAGTGCCTGATTGCTGACTAGCAACCACCACTCTCCAGCAACACAGCTCTGAAGGCAGTGCTGCTGCCAGCAGCTGTATAGAAGGAAGGGTAGTAATACCGCAACTGCCATACAATGATCTTGCAACTCCCACAAAAATCTTTTTGGGCCAAGTTTCCTACAACTATAAAACCATGACGTTTCAGATTTAAATATTTAAAATCATGAAATTTACCATTTTAAAAATCTTATGACTAAGATGGACAATGATCCTAAATATGACTAAAAGAATGTCAAATATTAAATACATGTTGATATGTGTTAACTTATTAAAAGATCATGAGTTTTCATGAGTACGAATAACTGGGAAATTGAAGCAGAGACAATTTAGGGTAACATTTTCAAAAGCACAGAAAAGTCTAATTTTTCAAAATAATTGTGGCCCAGATGTTTCACATATTTAGGTTCCTGCATTTGAAACCTGGGTCTTTGATGATCTGGGCCTTATGCATTTAGGAGCCTTAGTGCCACTGAAAGCCCTATTTGAAAATGTTGCCTTTATTGACTCATCCATTGACAAAGTAAATTGGTGTTAGAGATGAGATTAAAATCCAGAAATAAGGAACTACTGACATTCAGCCTCACAGCTATAATAAAAGATTAGAAGAAATGCCCGACCACCAAAGCTGTTGTATGGCTGCTTGCTCAGCGGGACTCCTGCACCCATTAGGTGTAGGAGTCCCTCTGAGCAAGCAGCCGTACAACAAGCTTCCAAAGAACCTATGGGAAGCTGCACAAAAGTCAGTGCAATTTTCAGCTTTTAGCGGATTGCCTATACAGGTTGAACCTCCCAAATCTAGGACTCTCTGATCTGGCACCATCCATGGTCCAGCAGGGCCAGGGATGTTGCTGGACCAAAGAGCCTTGGAGTAATGCAGGGGCAGCATCTGGGGATCCCCCACACTAGCCCAGAAACCCCAGCATCAACAGGGCCAGGCAGGGGCCAGGGTGCCCCAAGCCTGGGCAGGGAACCCTCAGTGACAATGGAGCCAGGTGGCAGCTGGTGGCCCCAGCGAGGAACCATAAGAACCACACCCCCTCCAATGGCAGCAGGGCTAGGGTGACTGAGCAGCCTCTGCTGGGGAAACCCCCATGGATGAAGCGGGCTAGTGGAGGTGAGCATCCGGAATCCCCAGTGACAGCGGGGCAGGCCTACCAGAGGGATGGGTGGCTGGGCACCCTGTCTGGGGAATCTCCTGGCAGCAGCAGGGTGGCGGTACTGGATGGCACCTGCCGGGAACTTCAGAGAACACCCTGCAACAGTGAGCCTGGCAGTAGGAATGCCAGGAGACCCTGGGGTAGCAGGCAGGCAGCAAGGTGGGGAACCATGCTGGACAGCTTTAGCAGGACCAGCGGCAGGGCAGGGAGCCCCAGGAAGAGCAGCCCTGAAGCAGGGCAGCCAGCAGGAGAGCACAGACCTTCCCTGGTCCAACAAACTTCCTGGTCCAGGACAGCTCAGGTCCCGACGGTGCCAGACCAGGAGGTGCAACTTGTAATATATACATCTTTTACTGTATTAAGAGAACATTTTGGCATGAACTCTGTATTTTCCTTATTTCAGAGGTGTTATCATTGCACAATAATTTTGTAAATGTGGAAATTAAAGGCTCAAATCTCCATTCCACCCAAGAGCTGACTATTGCACAAATGGACAAACAGTTCAAAGGAGGTTGTAAATGTTCCATAGGCTTTTTCACTAGCAAGAACAGTTCCACCCCATAATAATATTTTACTGAAAATTACTCTCTGTAAAGATTGGAAAACTCATTACAGGTGACCGAACAGTGGAGTTTAGTAAGAAAATCAAGGAAAATAGATCTCAAAATTGACTTTGCTTCATTTGGGAACTGGGTCAAAACCAAATAAAAAAATTGCCACTGACCCACTGGAACAGGATATTGTGTTAATTGCAATTTATTTTTATTTGCCACGCTTTGTGGTCTTAACTCACAATATACATCTTCTGAGAGACATGCAGCTAAATTACTTTAAAAATTATTTCAAATGCTTTCAAATGTGTTGCGCTGCCAATCTCTTAACATAGGACTGCCACAATTTCTTTCCACATGCCCTGTACTAAATCCAAAGTCTCCTGTCTAAGTGTACTACAGAAAGATGGATTGAGGGGTGGAGGAAATCTACTCCTTCCTTTTCCCAGTTAAACAAAGGTGACTTCTCACAACTGTGGAGGGAAATTATACCAGTTGACCAAAAAAAAAAAAAAAAACCCCACACCCAACCAACCAACCAACCAAAAAATAAAAACAAACAAACTTGTGAAGTGCACTTCACTGGAATTGTTTACACTTTTTCCTGAAAAAAGAAACCTAGCCAAATTCCATTCTCTTTTTACATTAGTGTAACTCCAGAGTGAAGCTGCTGAAGTCAGCAGAGCTTCTTTGGACTACAGGTTGAACCTCTCTAGTCTGGCAACATCTGTGGTCCGGCATGGGTATGGCCAAGTTTCCCATCATCCTGTAAAATTTTAGAGCCACCAGTCCTGGTTCATTCTGTGTTCTGTACTGTAATTTAGCTATAATTTACCCTTAAATATTTTCTAAAAGCCCAGTAAACAGTGGAATGTTGGTAATACTACTCAATATTGGCCTCCTGTGGTCTGGCAAATTCTTGTGTTCTTTATTGGTCAGGTCCCAAGGGTGATGGACTAGAGAAGTTCAACCTATGTTAAACTGGAAAGCTCAATTCAACTTATTCAATATTATTGAGAGCATAACTCAACATTGTATACCAGGAAGACGGGGAGAAAGGTAATAACTCTTTAGGAAAATCTGGCATTAGCCTTCATTAGGACATCACTGAAAAACCCCTGCAATTAGATGGAATCTGGTCTGTTTCATAGGCAAAATATTTGTATTTCATGAATATTTTTATGAGCTGAAGGACTAAGTAATCTCTAGCAGAATTCCTTAGCAATGTCCAAATGACAAGTAGTCCTGTGGCACCCTACAGATTACCCAAAATATACAGAAACATTATCCAAATGAGGACAGGAGAAGCAGCCCAATATTTCACTGATTTTCCCATTAAACCTTAAAAGTCCACTTTTTTTGAATAAATCTGGGTGACCTAAATTAACTGGGTAAACCAACCAAACCAAAAGCAATGTCTGAAATTTACTAGCATTGCCTAGGTTTTTTTTTGGTCTCTGTTTCTCTGTCTCTCTCTCACACATATATATGGACAGAACAAGTAATAATTGAGTGATCCAGCTACTGTTGCCTATTCTGACAAACAGAGGCTAGGGGAAAAAACAATAAGGAGTCCTGTGGCACCTTAAAGACTAAATTGAAAGAGAGAATTCAGTGTCTTGACAAAAGTAATATATAAAGTCAGTGTTCAATCCAGGATTAGAACTCAGGAATTTCTGGTTCCTAGCCCCAAGGTCTGAACCTGAAGAAAGCATGAAAGGCCCCACCACCTAAACTGCTGTATGGTTTCTTCTAGCTTAGCACATGCACTATTTGGCTCAAGTTCTGTTTAGCTTTTACTTTCCATGAATAGATTTTCAGCCCAATCCACAGAAACTTACAGGAGAATGCTCAACGAGTTTGACAAGAGCTGGACTTATCCCTCAGTTTCCAGGTTTGAGTGCAGATAGCACCTGTGAAACAAAGATTTCATTGTGATCCTTTTCAGCATATTCTCACAAGTTGATTGAAAAGATACAATTCCTGGAGCATAAATGCACAAACTGTGTGCTTGTATGACCTGAAAATATACATTAACAGGAAACAACTCTCACCTGAGTATGACAGGGATCTGGCCATGTGTGTGGGTGACACTCTATTTATGTTCGTAACCCTGTGAATGACAAATTTAGAAATCAAAATATAGACTTAGCAAGATCTTTCATTATATGAAAAGTAGTCCAGTCATTTTCAAACCACAAAAAGCTTTTTTTTTTTAAAAGGGAAAATATACCTCTGAAGGCTAAAGGAAGCGTAGGTGTACAGGATTGTCGGTAATATCTGATGACATTCACCCTGTGAGTGCTGATTGGTCACCAAATCTGCAGCAGTGTTTAAATTCATGCACTAGTAGAGGAGTCTCTAGTTACCAAAGTACCTGTATGGCTATATCATTTCATTGATCCTATGCCCTTATGACATCTGAAGTACAAAAGCTAAGAAGTCCTGAAGAAAGCCTGGGTGACGTTCATACAGAAGTAACTATTTTAATTTTTTTGGTTTATTCTGAAAAAATGAAACAGCATGTACATGTTAACATTTGTTTGTTTTTTTATAGACAAGCACAACAGAATACCTTGGGGAGAGAGAGGAGAGCAGGGGGCAAATTGTTTTTTTAAGGGAAAAGCAAAAGCTCTTTTGCTGATTTTCAGATCAGTATGCACTTAAGAGAGTAAAATAATGTAGTATTTCCTTCCTAGAACACATTTAAGTTTGTTTCTGTGTCACATGTTTATCTGATTTATACACTGGGTAAATCTGTGAGTAAAGGTGTTTATATGTGAGGCCTTATAATTCTGATTTTCTGTGCCTTAAGGCAGGGGTCGGGAACCTTTTTTGAACTGAGGGCTGCTGACCTACAGAAAAATCAGTCAGGGGCCAGGGGTTGTGGAGAGGTGGCGGGGGGAGGGCTGGAGTGCCAGCACTGGCTCCCCAATGCTGGGGAGGCCCTAAGCTTTGGGGGGCCAGATCTCGGCAACTCAGGGACTGCATCTGGCCCTGGGCCGTAGGTTCCCCATCCCTGCCTTAGGGTAAAAAGAAAAGCTATTTTATGACAGACTACTATATTAGATTATCTCATGTTAAACAGGGTGGCTACGTCTAGACTGGCATTAATTTCCGAAAATGCTTTTAACGGAAAAGTTTTCCGTTAAAAGCATTTTCGGAAAAGCACGTCTAGATTAGCAGAATGCTTTTCCGCAAAAGCACTTTTTGTGGAAAAGCGTCCGTGGCCAATCTAGACGCGCTTTTCCACAAAAAAGCCCCAATCGCCATTTTCGCGATTGGGGCTTTTTTGCTGAAAACAGTACTGTGCTGTCTACACTGGCCCTTTTGCGCAAAAGTCTTTTGGAAAAAGACTTTTGCCCGAACGGGAGCAGCATAGTATTTCTGGAAAAGCACTGACAATCTTACATGAGATCGTCAGTGCTTTTCCGGAAATTCAAGCAGCCAGTGTAGACAACCGGCAAGTTTTTCCGGAAAAGCGGCTGATTTTCTGGAAAAACTGGCCAGTCTAGACACAGCCACACAGTCTTAGCAATATCCTATTGTACAAAAGACACTATATAGTAGATTCTGCCAGCTTTATTCTTGTTGCATTCCATATTCCTCTACAATTATTGTGTGGGTAGATGCTACTTAGTGTGAGTAACGGTGGCAGAATCAGGCCTCCTATTAGTCTAAAAGTGTGAAAATGTGTTTACTTACTGTCAACTCACAGGGCCAGGGCCCAACAGGATTATGGATTCGATTCAAGACAGAGTCCATTAGGGATAGTTGCTTTTATCAATCTACTACATCACTACTATTACAGGCTTAATACTACCAGATGGTTACACAGCTACTGCAAAGTAATACAGCCGGTCCCCGAGTTGCGAATGGTCGACTTATGACCGTTCACAGTTACAACTGAAGCTGTTGTAAATGACGGACCCCGGGTTACGAAAGCAATCCGTGCTTATGAACAGCGCGGTAATGTGTAACTCTATGGGGCCCGACTTACGAATGAACCGAGTTAGGACCAATTGCTTGGTCCATAACCGGTTTGTAAGTTGGGAAGAGGCTGTACTCCAATAAGCACAAGCAGAACAATGCATAAAAGAGAGCAACAGCACTTGGAAATGCTTACGCCCCTTCAGTCTGTGGGGAGTCCCATTCCTGTCACCTCACACCAGGTTGCAGTGGACATGGCTCCAGCTGGGGGGATCCTCTGAGTTCTAGGTCCCTGGTGAGACTCACCGGACACAGGACTTCCTACACTAGTTATACTACAGTTGTTTATCGGGTGTGCACATACTGGCCCAATGCCACTTTCAATGTCCCCACGGGGCTGAGAACAGAGGTCATGTTATTTATCCCATATTTGTCCCTCAGCTAGGTCTCTCAACTCATAGGGAGTTGCAGGTGTTGAAGGCGATCTGATCAAGAACACCTGGTATTTTTGCCATCAGGGCTCATGGCTGGCCTAAAGCAATACAAATTTAACCCCTGCAGGTCTACATATGGCTTTTTATGTGACACTTGCCCTTTGCAGTGTTTATGTTTTATGTTACATAAAAGGGTTTAACTCTGAAAGGAAATGATTACTTAAATCCACTTTAAAGTACACTAGAG